CTCTGTCCTCATTGTTGTCATTGCTGATGTGAGAATTGTTTCCTGCCATTGTGTTTTTCTGACGCTGGATCTTGTACTGACACGGTTAAGTGTTTTAGCTCAGAACCAGGCGCTCTGATGCCAATTGAAGTGGTGAAAAACACAAGAAGGGGGGGTTGAATTGTAAAACTGAAATCTAATGCAATGAACAAGATATTTTTATCCTGGTTCGTTTGATCTCAAACTACTCCAGTCCACCCGTCAAGGTGATTTCGCCTCTCTCCAACGAGGTCTTAATCCACTATATTCAACTGAATATTACAGACTGCTTTAACAACTGCTAAAGCCTTCTTGATTCAAACCACAACCTGGTTTGTCAAGGTAACACTTTCTTACAAAGAGATAAAACTATGTGTGTGGATGTTTTCTACAAAACTGTATCACAACTGTGATGTATACACAAATTGAAGATTGGAAACTAGATTGCTAAACAGTAATGGAATATCAGAGTGTGTGGTTTAGCAAAACTGAGAGAACGAAGATTATGGTTTAGCTTTTGTGCGTGTAGAGATTTTGAGAGCATTAGCCATTTCAATCTTCAAAGCCTTGTTTATATAGCACTGAGATGATGAACGTTGGATGCAATATTCTTGATTCAATGCTAATAACAAGCTTTCCTTATTGAGCAGATCTTGTCTGGAATGAGGCCGTTGGAATTAATTTGCTTTCAATGCACAGTACCGTTGCTTACTTAATGCAAGTTCTGGCTTGGCTCATTCTGACTCTGCTTCGCTGCTGATGAACTATTGTGTTTCTTTATCAGAGTGTTGAGCGCAGTCTTGTTCATTAGGCTTCAGCATGTACGTGAGTTGATCATCTGATTTTAACATTCTGATATAGCAACTTCTGATGCTGGTGTCTGAAATCAAGTTCTGATGCTGAATAGATGTGATCTTGCTTATTTCAATCAGAGTATCTGCAAGTCAGAACATAATAATTTTAGGCAGCAGATAGTTCATACATGAAACTTATAAATACTATATCTTTTCACTTTGTTATCATCAAAACTTAAATATAGGGTAGTAGATTCAAACTTTGTTCTAACATAGACTTCCTACTTACGCGATCCGTTTCAATAACCATTATACCGATATCTGGAGTTTTAGTTCTAAAGTAACCCCTAGTAGTTTATACTAGCAGTCAGCACCGTCTTGACACAAACCACATGGAGAATCGATGAATATAAGTGTTTGATGCCTAATCATTGAAATATCCTTCTTATCTCGCTGCTAAAAGAAAAGAAATTTTGTGCACCAAAATATACAGTCACATATAAGAGCTGAGCAAATAATGAAGGAATCCACTGTTGGTTGGTTCAGAGGTATCTGGTTCTGGACTTGGTAGGGCGTGCTACGGCTCAATCCCTCACAACCTCCAATTTGGATAACGTATGCAGGGTTGCCACATTCGTGTACCAGACCCCGTGCTAAAAAGATCAAAGTCACTAACCGGTTACTCCACTACGTACGTGCTAAGACAAAGGGCTTAATGTGATTATGCCAGAACGAAACCGGGTGAAATAGATGCGAGGAACTCTGGGCAGAATTATAACAAAACTGTTGGATAGCTCGTTTGAAATGGAAGCCTACGACTAAGCTTATTGCTTGTGTCATTAGCGTATCTTTAGTGTTTCACTCAAGTATTGGCCGAACCGACGAGGATTTCCAGAAATTGCTTTAAAAATCGAAGGTATGTCATACATATGCGCTTGAAAAACTTGTCCGACCTTTCGAATGACTATTTGCTTGAGGACAAGCAAAGGTGTAAGTATGGGGGAATTTGATAACGATAAACCGTATCATATAATTACTACGCTTTTTACCGATTTTTATAATACATTGAGTCGTCTAACTCCCGATTATTTCGAGTTTTTGTGTCTTTTCACAGGTACAACGTGTGCCAACTCAAATCAGTGAAAAAGGACCACATGAAGGAAGCTAAGCAAGAAACAGAGGAGAAAGAACCAAATCTGCAAAGTCTGCAGATTTTGTAGCTGTGACGACGGTCACACCCTATGACGACCGTAACGCCTCCTCAACTAGAAGAACGCTCGTCACACATCATTGACGAGCGTAATGTGCTATTTAGGCGCATTACGACCGTCACCCCCTTGTGACGACCGTCACACGCTTAAAGGGCAACATTATGAATTAGTGGAGACGTGGGCAACGTGAGGGCAGAACTCTTCTCCTATATTTCCTCCACTTCAGTAACCATGCATTCGGGTCTTTCTCCACTCAAGCCTTTTCCAATTTTTTCTCAACTGCAATATCTTCTTCTATATATATGTGGTAGTTCAATGGATGATGGTCGAAGAAATTTAGCCAGAGGCAAATTTATATTTTTCTGCATTATTCTATTTTCCTGCTTTTGAACCTTTTTTTTTACACCTACTGCAATTTTAAATTTCAGAATTAGTTTTTAGAGTGTGAATTCTTCATCTAAGAATTAACACAATTATTGATTTCGACTGAATTGCAAGGAATTTGTAACATTCAAGATTACCATAGCAACATTATTTCCAGGTTTTTTATGCAATTAATATTTATTTATTCTTGTGTTATGTCATTTATTTTTATGGATTATATTTTAAGTTGTATAGTTACTAAATATATTATGTCCGACTAAATTAATTTGTACCGGTGTGTGACTCCTAAGTACCGAAAGAATTCAGTGATAACTTGGCTAAAAACATTTATAAACAATTTTTGGTTTCCAATTTCCATGTTTAATTTAACTACCATTGTCACAAGAGTGAGAGGATAATTAACACGACTTTGCCACGAGCGTGGGAAATTAAATAAGGCAAGAACCTGCATGCGAGAGTTGAGGTTCAACCCAAATAGTGGTAACGAAACATTAATTTTTAAATACATGAGAGTGTTTTAACAAATTAATTAAACTCAAATTGTTTTAAAAAAGTGTTATTAAATTTAAAGTGCATCCACTAGGTTTAGTAGCATGACTTATTTCATGAACACGAGAGTGTATGTCTCAGGTTTTTAAACAATTCGTTTTTACCGAAATACTTTATATGCCAAGCGATTCACCGGATTCACGAAGTCCGACTATCACATACCGGTATAGCTATTAATATTATTTTTAATTAAACTAATTCCCCCCTAAAACCAAATATTCATCGCTTAGTTAAACTATTGTAGCATTAGATCGTATGCGATTGATCCTCAGTCTCTGTGGGTTCGATAATCATTTAAAACTAGAACGACTAAACTGTATACTTGCAGTTAGTATCCCAATAGACTTATAAAGTCCCGATCAACGAGCAACACGTGGTCAATATCTGACCACGTGATGAGGAGACTATATCAGACTCTTCCTATTTCGTGTCTTATCTCATCATACTCTTTAATCAAATTAAAACTCAAAATAGCTAATCAATAACATCAAATCATTTTCTACTAATATAATAAAAATCTAAGATCATTTTTGAAAAAGGATTAAGGAGAGTTATTTTCAAATTAACTGCGAACTACTTCTACGCTCACACAATTTTCAACTCAGACAAGGTTCAAGGTTAATTCGAAAGCAATTCTACGCAATCTTATAAAAAACACAAACCAAAATGCGAACTACGAATTGGGACTTTGATTCCTCATAAGAGGATACGTAGACATACGACTAAAATCGTGGCGAGTTCCCCTAATAAAAATTAAAATCCTATTTCCTAAAAATCGCGCTTCTAAAATCTAGTATCCTTGTGAACAAGGTAGATCAGAAGTGCCTAACACCTTTCCTTCGTCTAGAACCGAGTTCAAAAAAACTTAAAATCTCTAACTTTTTAGGGTTATCCTTTATATTCCCTTCCTTAGAATAAAAATTAAGGGTGACGACTCTATAATTTAAAACCAGTTACAACACATCCTCCTTCATACCGAAAAGCAGGCATGGAATATCAAGAGGTTGTCAGGAAAATACACTTTAGTCTTAGGAAAATTCTATAAGATGAGAAGATTTACACCAATGTTAAAGTGTCTTGGTGAGAACAAAATGACATTGCTACTGGAAGTGAACGAAGGCGTATGCGATAGTCGCATATAGGGAAGAGCGTTGGAAAATAAGCTATTGAGGGTCGAGTACTATTAGCCAAATTTGTCGAGGGATAACTCAAACTTTGTCAACAAATGCGACACTTGTCATTGATTTTTAGACCTACATCACTTCTCTTTCGAGATCCTCAATTTTTTGACCTTGATATGGCAATTTCATAACAGGGAGTTACCATTTTGATAGCATTTCCTTTGGTCTTATGAAAATTAAAATTTGGACTTGTATGCGTGGATAATTGCATCCAATGGATCGAGACATAGGTGGTATCAAAGATCATTGCAGAAAAAATTATGGAGTTATTGAGGTAGATGATGTACGCAGTGTATCAACTCCTCATTCATAGAGTACGATATACAATTACTTCTAATTAGTTTTATATAGTGATTAATCCTTACATGACACCAGATACAAAAAGAGATTCCTAGACTATCTCATTAAAAGGTACTGAAAGAGGAACAAACAAAGATGAAATATGCCATGAATGTATTGATGATATATCACCTCCGTATAATTGTTATTTGGAGAGAGACTATAGTTAGAGATGAGTTTCAAGAAAAATTCTTTAAATGATCACTCTACAGTCAATCTTAACACATGTACGACATGTGTTGTAGTATAGAAAATCAAGAAGAAACCTAAAATTTAAATATACTGATATTTTAATTTGTATTTTAATATATGCACAAAGTCTAAGATCTAATCAAATTTCTTTGGATTGCTCCAATGTTAGAGATTAAGATATTAAATATCATAAATAACCCTAATTCATAATAATTAGCCATGAATACCAAGCTAATTTTACATAGCTACGTACACCGAAGTTCGAAGTTCTAAATCATGCATTGCCTTTAGGGTTTGTTCCTTTATAGACTCTCACTGTCAGAACGTTAGAGATGGAGAACTATGAGGTTCTAGAGGAGCTTCACAACGTCGAAGCCGAGATAGAAGATGTTCAAGGTGCTTGCTTCTTCCCTCAATTTCTCTCTCATCTCTCGCTAACCAATTTTCAATTCATAATAACACTCTAAATGTTAATGCCATGAACAAACTACTAGGTTAACATTGTTGCTAAAGTTTTCTAGGTAAAATGCAAACACAATAGGGTTCATGTTCTTCAAAATTCATGAACTAATTTTTCGTTTTGTTGTTTTTGAATATGAAAAAAAATGGTTTATGCAGAACAAATTAGGGCGTTAATTGAAAAGCAAGAGAGGTTGTATGAGAGGAAATCTGAGCTGAATTCTATTCTGGAAGCGTGTAAAGAATCTGAAAATGAGGTCAATAATGCAAGTTCAAGTACGGTGGAGAATTGGGATGGGCCATTTGAATGGGATTCTGAAGCAGCTGATCTTAGATTAAACATCTTTGGCATTTCATCTTACCGCGCAAATCAAAAAGAGGTAAAATGAATACTGTTTTTTCTCTGCAATTCAAAGGGGTTTTATTCCTTGAAGTACATGTTCATTGTTTTATTTGTGAGGAAGGATGCGGGGCATCATAATCCATGAAGCACATACACGTCACAGACACACTGATACGTTGATAACAATAATAATTAAGAAATGGGAGTAATTGAATGTAGACACATGTGTTAGTATGGGACACTGACTACATTGATGCATGACAAATACATACACATTCAATTTGAAGTGCTAGTGCTACTTAGACATAATGCGGTGAACATTTGCGTTAGGCAGGCCATTTCATGCTAAGAATATCAATATGTTACACGACTCAAACAACTCAATTTGTTGCTTCCATGTGATTTACTAATATTTTTTGCCTTTGGTGTGAATTGCTCGAGCTTCTTAGCATTGTGGTTTTTGTTCAAGTTCTATAATGGGTATCTTAGCATTGTGTTTTTTGTTCAAGTTCTGTAGTGGGTGTCTGAGGGGTGGTTGTTATCAGCTTTGAATTTGCACACAGAATTTTCTCAGTAGGATATTTGTATATGTACAGGGGGAGCAGTGAAGATCACCACCCTTAAAACTCCTTCTCCTTGTATTTATTTTGCCTTTTTAGTGTTTGGTTCAGATTTCAATGAACAAATATTTCATTGGAGAGAATCTTTTCCCATATGTACAGGGTTACTGATCTGATTAACTTGTCATAATGGTTAGTTTGTGTTAGAATATCTAAGTACTTTGGTTTATGATGCTGTTAGATTTTTTAAACACTGTTTGCTTTCAAAAGTTAGGCAGTGTATATTTTCTAATTTAAAATGCTATCACGAGTGTATCATTTGTTGAACTATTGACATTGAGGGCTTTAGTTTGTCTATCTTTTTTTGTTTTCCTATTGAAGAACTATTGTTTTTTGTGTACAATTTTATTAACGAGTAATCTCATTATGACAGATTATTAATGCCATATTGAGTGGAAGAGATGTTCTGGTTATTATGGCTGCAGGTGGTGGCAAGAGCCTCTGCTACCAACTTCCTGCTGTTCTTCGTAATGGAATCGCTCTAGTTGTCAGTCCTTTGCTTTCGCTAATTCAAGATCAGGTGCATTTCATTTTGTTTGAATGCAGTCCATTTTTTTTGGGGTCATGAACATTTTCATGGATTTAAAAGGTTATTTTCTGTTTCATTTTTAACTGAATGGTGGGATTGCTTTAGGTAATGGGTTTGACTGCTTTGGGCATCCCAGCATATATGTTAACTTCGACAACAAGTAAGGACAATGAGAAGTTCATATACAAGGCTTTGGAGAAGGGCGAGGGTGAACTCAAAATTTTGTATGTTACTCCAGAAAAGATATCAAAAAGCAAGAGGTTTATGTCAAAACTTGAAAAGTGCCATCACGCTGGTCGTCTTTCTCTTATTTCAATTGATGTGAGTTCACAATGACACGCTCTTTAGAGTTGTTTTGAATTATGTTTGCTGGTTTCTCAATTTTTATGAATGTCATGGTTTGTTGATTTTATGAATTGATACAAGTGTGTGTACCTGGAAAATTGTTGTATTTTGCTTCATTTGCTGATTTACTTCTAAGGCTTTTTTAACTAATGCAAAAATACAGGGACCCATCATAGGTTGTACAACACTAAAGATAATTTTAAGAAAATATGTTTCTATTTTCATTTTCTGTTTTGACTTATAATTATAAAAATGCCATCTTATTTTCAATTTTTTTTTCCTATTTTCCATTATTTGCCGGAAGAGGTGAAAACAACATTTGTAACTGAAAATTATTAACAGATACAAACGACCATCAGGGACAACACACCCTATGAAGATACACTCTTGAGACCTGAATTAGAGTTTATGAACTTTGTAAGGCCTCTAGAGGTGAAGCATGCAAAACCAAAGGTTTTGAGAAAATTTAAGTTAGGTTTTTGATTAAAAATTAGGTGAAATGGATGGAAAAATTATGAACAGATGTAGGAAAATGATTTATTAGATTAAATGCCGGTTAGGAGGGCATGATCCTTAAAAATGCAGTTTATAGAGTGAGAACTATTTATAGTACAGGCTATTGCATAACTCTGACTAACTGATAGTTATATCTGATATTAACTGATACTCTCTCTCAGCGTTGTTAAATATCGGTTATATCGCCGATATACCGGTTTTTCATATCGGAATTTGGCTATCCGATACGAAAGACGATATTCCGTTTCAGTTTCGCTACGCTCAACATATCGGCCGTTTTCCCGTATACCGGTTCTGAATTTGATATCAGAATTAATATTATTATGATTATTTTTATAATGAGTCATATTAAAAAATATTTAAAATATAGAATGTGAAGAGGTGGAATAAAAAAATAGGCTGTGAAGAGGTACACAGTAATAAATAGTAGGCTGTGAAAAGGTGGAGTATTAATAAAGTGGAAATGTGAAGAGGTGTGTGGGTATTAACATATTCTGATTGCTAGTCTCGAAAATAGAAGAAACAAAATATGAAGAGGTGTAATATTAGTGAGTTGGTGTGGTTATTTATAGGAGTCAAAGTGCCTCCATCACCATAATTTTCTCTTCACTTTATTCATTCTTCACATTCTGAAAAATGAGGATAATGATTATGTTGGGAAATGGAAAATAATTAGATCTTTATAACTAGTTATGCTTAGAAAAACTATGAGTATTACTTATTTTGAAGTTTGAACTATTTAATTTTGAGTTCTAAGTCATTTTGATTTTGAAGTTTGAACTACTTGGTTGTTAGAACTTGATATTTTCAGTTTAATCTTAGTAAACATTTTTAATATTTGTTTATCTTAGTAGCTTTTATATGTGTGGCATGTTTTATTTTATATATAATTATTTATTTTAATCGCTTTGTGGTTTCCGCTATTTGCCCGCTACGATATCCTATATTTCTCATATCGGTATTTTGGTGATCCGATATTTTCCGCGATCTGCTATTAACAACAGTGCTCTCTCTCCGTTTCACAACAAGTGTCACTTTAACAATAAAATTTGTTTCAAAATCAATGTTATTTTCACTTTTTAAATTTTCAAATTTTCAATTTAGAGCTAATTAAGTTTTTCCCTATTGTGCCCTCTAATTAGTACTATGTACTCTACTTCCAAAATATTATATTTCTCTTTGTATTTATGATGATGAGAAACACATCAAGTTGATAAGGTTAGTTTAGTAAAAGTGTCATGTCTTTTGACAATTTTATTGCATTTCTTAATTTGTGTGTAAAAACTTTAAACAACACTCATTTTCATTTTGAAACGGATGGAGTGTTAAACTAGTTTAACGACTATGAATAAATATACTCTAGTAGAAATGAAGTGGCATATCTGTATTCATGAAAAGTGTTAGCTAGTAGCAACACTCATTCAAACACTTCCTTTCCAAGACTTTTTCTTTTATTGCACGTAGTTCATGTGAGTCCCATCACTTTATGTGGAACCCATTTCCAAAGTTGCGGGATCAACATGAATTTCACCTAAAAAGAGTGTGTTGGAAAGAGAGTGTTAGAGCGAGTGATGCTAACACTTCTCTTATATTAATTAGTAAAATTAAGAAACGAAAAAGGCAAAAAGTTTTTTCAAACCAAACATAGTCAAAAGTATCTCAACGGATTCAGTCCTGCCGCAGTCTCATGTGTTTGTCATGTTCTTGAAATGCATTGATAATACTTTCCAATGGTGGAAGTTGTTGATGCACATGAATATCGTCTGCCAATAATAGCATAAAATTTTAGCTTGGTTTAAAAAGATATTCAGCAAAAGTCATTTCTTGTGTTTACCAAGTGGTTTGGTAGAAGGATTTGCCTCAGTAAAAGACTCGTATTCATATCCTAGCACACACTTTAACTTTGTTACTTTTTGTCATCTATAATTGGACAAACTTAGATGACATTCAAATCAGATGTTATACATTAAGAGAAAAAAACATTAGTGTCTCTACCTAGTAACTGAAGTTTTTGGGTTGATTTGGTTCTTGACATTATACTAGCCTGTCCACAGGCAAGCAATAATGAGTTATATCTTTGCTGCTCCCATTCTTCATTCTAGAGTTTTATTTAGAATATAAAATGACCTCGTGCAATGAGTTGCCATGCTTCAAGATCATAGAGATTTTGCACTAGGGTTTGTTTAAGGGTAAGAGCTATTCATGTGCCTCGTTCTGATTGCTTAAGCTTTTGGATTGATTTGGATCTTGACTGCTCCTACTCTTGATTACTTATTTATTTATTGATTTATTTTTTTACGGCTTCTATTAGGTTGTAAGTTCTTAGTATTATACCTATTTATTAAAGTATTAAACCATATGAAATCCGATGCACTGTTTATTCTACATGTCTAGACTCATTGCTACCACTATCCTGCAGAGGTCTTGGTGTTTCACAGCAATACTCTGTTAGTTGTATGATATTACTATTTCTGATTTTGTTTTGCTCTGCAGGAGGCACATTGCTGTAGTCAATGGGGTCACGACTTTCGACCTGATTACAAGAACCTTGGTATTCTCAAGACACAGTTCCCTAATGTTCCTATGGTTGCTTTGACTGTAGGTTTTTATCTTCATGTTTCTGCTAAGTATTGCAAATAAAATTATTAGATTTGCATTTGCTCTCCATACTTAATTTTGATTTCTAACATTACATTAATTTGTCAGGCAACTGCTACTCAGAGGGTCCAAAATGATCTGGTTGAGATGTTGCACATTCGTAGATGTGTCAAATTTGTCAGCACAGTCAATAGGCCAAATTTATTTTATATGGTATATTTTTAATTAATATTAGCACAGTCAACAGTTTTTTATACGGATGCCCTCCTTCTCCTCCCAAAAAAAACTTATACCTCTGGCTTTAATAACAAGAAAAATTAGTTTATTATCTCTGATCATATTGTTTCATATTTACACTGCAGGTAAAGGAAAAGTCATCCGTCAGTAAGGTGGTTGTTGACGAAATTGCCGAATTCATTAAAGAATCTTATCCAAATCGCGAATCAGGGATTGTTTATTGCTTCTCTAGGAAGGAATGTGAACTGGTACGCATGATTATGGTTTTCCTCCAACAGTTAGCAATGCATATTTTGAATGTCAAATATTGCCCTCAAGAAAGCAAGCGTAATGCTCACATTTCAAGAGTGTCTCTTTGCCCTTGCATTTCTTAGGGATATGATTATGTTTTCAGCTTCTCTTTGGTGTTATGCACATGGCAGTTTCAAGGGAGTTGCCATCCCTGTTATGTAGATATTTGGTAGCTTTGCACTTGCTTGTTGTATTTTCTTATTGTTCTTATTTTTGTTTTTCCTCTTGTATTTTCTAGAAAAACTTATCCTTGGCCGCATTGCACATTTTTTCTTTCCTTTGTAATCTTTTTTTCTTCATACAAATTGTCTGACCTAGGTCTCTAAATACACTATATGAGCTAATTGATATATTTTTGAAAACTTTTATGATTTATATTACCTGAAATCCTGTCTGTTGTTAGTTTAAATCGTCACATCAGGAATAGGGTGCTATGTATATCCACCCACCTCCATGTTAGGAGGAGACGGTGGATTAGATACTTATCCTCTCTATTGCCAACACTATTTTAGGTTGCAAAGGAGCTAAGGGAGAGAGGTATTTCTGCTGGTCATTATCATGCAGATATGGATGTAAATGATCGTGAAAAAGTACATATGCGGTAAAGTAATTGTCAGAATATTGTGACTTATATATGTTAGTGCTTTATTAATATACGTTGGTTGAGTTCTTGCTTAGTTGTTCTGAATATGTCACTGAATACTGAAGTTATGCTAGCCGGTGTTTTAGGAACTAAGGGAGTAGAATTGCAGTTGATTTTAGTATTGAATGCAAGCTCTATCTTTACCCATTAATCCCTGAACCGTATTTTTAAAAGACCTTGACTAGATTTAAGTATAGGTTCCAATTGTCAGTCTTGGGCCCTGCTTAATGGTGGTATCGAAGTAGATCAGCTGTGAGATATAGCTTTTCTGTCTTACATCTGGTTATAATGTGATGTCCAATGAAATTTGAGATACATCTGATTTTTTGTGCATCATTCATGTTTATGAAGATTTAGTCGATTGTAAACGATATGGTGATGGCATTATTTATCAAATGAGTTAATGGAGATTTGACGTTTGATTATGCAGGTGGAGCAGTAACAAGCTGCAGGTCATAGTTGGTACGGTGTGTATCGTTGCAGTTGTCATCTTGTATGGCATTCATTTGTCACTTATGGCCTGTTAAAGCATTGAACCTTTATATAATAATTTACATTTCAGGTAGCTTTTGGCATGGGAATCAACAAACCAGATGGTTAGTATTACAATTTCAGAATGTGTTCTTGAAATTTCCCAACATTATCTTGTTATATTGTATCACACTATCGATAATAGTTTTTCATTGGTAACTAGTTTCAATTTGGAAAAAAAACTGCTTCAAGTTCAAACTTCAACAACCGAAATAGGATGGGCAAAGATTGAAAGGATCATACTAAACATTATTTTCCATGCTTTTAGAGCAGACATGGCTACAGTGTTGTAGAGTACGTCATGTATTGTTCACAAGGACTTTTTTTTTTTTTATTTCGGTGAAAATCAACGTTCTTTTTGGCTCTTCTGGTTATCAATGCGATGTCTTGCTATTTGCGAAGTGATGTCTCATGCAATCTGAATTTTATTGGAATTTATGAGATCTTTATTTATTTATTTGTTTTTTTATATTTGTTACATGGTTATATTGTTTTAAATAGATGGTCGCGTGGGTAGATTATGCACCTTCTTTTGTTGAACATAGAAACATGACTATGAATTTTTTGCAAGTGAGAAGTCCCTAAGTGGACATGCATATTGTATTTGCAGTACCTCCACTGAAGCTGGTAATATCTAATGCTAAATATTTTCATGTAGTCAGGTTTGTCATCCATCACAGCTTGAGTAAATCAATGGAAACGTACTACCAGGTTTTGCTCCAATTTGGAAATATTTTCTTATGTTACACATCCTTTATGTTATTATCGGGGCCAGTTTTTCTAGAAGCTTAAGCTGTTGGGTGAAGGCCTTGGACTTTTTTTCTAGCACCGTCTTATTTGAAATTCTTTTGGGGTTGACAAGTGGTTAAAAAAGCCCAATGCTTGTGATACCTCGTGCTAAAAATCATCAATTTAGTGAAGAGAGATGGTGGTTGCTGTGGTTGGCTTTTAGTTAACATCATTAAACAACTTTTTTCAGGAAAGTGGTCGAGCTGGCCGAGACGGGCTTCCTTCCGAATGCCTATTATACTTCAGACCTGGTGATGTTCCCCGTCAGGTAAAACTTTGAAAAATTGTGAAAACAATAATTAATCTGCTAAAAAGAGTAGAACCAGAGACCAACACAGAACAGGATGTCCAGTTCCATTCTGTTCTTGTGCCAAATACTGCAAGAAATTATCTAGGACCTAAAAGTGTAAATAATATTACATTGTTGCTTGTTGAAAGATGATCAATGACATATTACATTCTGTTCTTGTGACAAGTTTTATTAATAACACTTTTCTCAGAGTTCAATGGTCTTCTACGAAAATTCAGGACTGCAGAACCTCTATGACATAGTACGGTTTTGTCAGGTAATTTCTGTTATGATTTTTAATATGCACTGCTGGTAGTTGATCTGGTAGTTGATGTGGACTAATTATGGTTATCCTATTCTTTAATCCAGTCCAAAAGACAATGCCGGCGAAGTGCCTTTTTCCGGCATTTTGCTGAGCCATTACAAGAATGCAATGGTACATTTTAATATTGTAATTTACTGCTCCTTTTACTTGTGCCCCATTGCAAGTTTATGGCATGCATTCACATTTTTTATACTTGATGTTACAGGGATGTGCGACATTTGTGCATTCTCAAGTGAGGTGAAGGAAGTGGATGTCTCTCGTATGTTGCTTTGACTTTTGGTTTGATTTGTATTCTCTTCCCCCCACTCCACCCCCATATACTTATAATTGCACTGCTTTCTCTGTTTTCATAGTTTCTTTATCCCATTTTATTCACACAAACCTTTACACGGGGATAATACTCTTTGCAGGGCATGCAAAATTGATGGTTTCTTTGTTGCAAGATATTCAGGCAAGTGATCAGAGGTCAACAATGTTGCAATTAGTTGAAAAAATGAAAACAAAACAGAAGGAAATAGGTTAGCCTGTCCTCTCATCTGTTTTTAATTTGGCTAGATAGATGTATTCTTTTTTGCTAAGTATCAAAATTCTTATTGCCAACTAACACATTTAATGTCAGGGTTAAAGGGTTTTTAAATAGTCCCACGTTGAAAAGAATATTGTCTCAATATATGTTTATAAGTGAGGGGACAATCCTTACCTTACAAGCCGCTTTTGTAATTGCAAAGTTGAGCTAGGCCCAACCACAATTCTAAGAAGGTATTAGAGTCTATTAAAGATCCGTTGGAACATCTCCTATAAGGTTTCTGCTATCGGATCACCCATCATTTATATCCACGCTCTAAGCCCAATAGTACTGAGCATGAGGGGTGTTAAAGAGTCCCACTTTGAAAAGAGCATGGTCTCAATATATGTTTATACGTGGGTGGCAACCCTCACTTTACAAGTCGGTTTTGTTTGTTTGAGTTAGGTCCAATCACAATTCTAAGAAGGGTAAAATGAATGGGAGTCAAAGTAGATAGGATTAGTTAAAGTTGTTCTTTAGAGGTGATATTGATTAGGTATGTTGGAAATATAAGGTCGATAGATTCATCATGTGAACTAGATAGCTAGCGAGTGAAAAGAAACATCTTAAATGAAGAGGAAATCCTTGGAGAAAAGACCTCTCTCCTATTCTCAATCTTGTGTGTTTGAAGAAATGTATGTGAACTAGATATCTAGCAAGTGAAAAGAAACATCCTTTGTGAAAGAGGAAATCCTTGGAGAAAAGACCTCTCTCCTATTCTCAACCTTGTGTGTTTGAAGAAATGTATGTGAACTAGATATCTAGCAAGTGAAAAGAAACATCCTTTGTGAAAGAGGAAATCCTTGGAGAAAAGACCTCTCTCCTATTCTCAACCTTGTGTGTTTGAAGAAACGGATGAATCCTGTATGTTTTTGGGAGAGAAGATCAAGTATGACGGCACAACCTTGTTTGTGGAGTTTAGAATCGTTTAGCTTAAGAAGATGTTGCATTGGCGCATGAAGTTGTAGGTGTTGATTGTGATTAATATAGAAATACGTTGTATATTTCATTATATTGGAACTGTTACATTGTGAGGTATATATAGAATACAGTACACTAATTTGTTAATAAACAGAGAAATAATTTCCTATAATTGCTGCTACCTAAATAAGGAAATCATAATAAAAGATAATAAATCTATTTACACCACTGTTTTGTAACAGCTTGACAAATCAAAATCAAATGATTATGATTTGATATGTGCTAATCTTCAACACTCCCCCTCAATCTGGGTGGTAGATGTCTATCATACCCAGATTGGATTTGATATTTTCATAAGTATTCCTTGGAAGAGCCTTGGTTAAGATATCTGCAGTTTGCTTGCATGATGGGACATGATCAATACTTATAATCTTATGATCAATTTTTTCTTTAATGAAGTGTCGGTCAATTTCCACATGTTTTGTTCTATCATGTTGGACTGGGTTCTTTGCAATGCTTATAGCAACGTTGTTATCACATAGTAACCTCACAGTATGGTTCACTGGAATTTTGATTTCATCTAGCATGCTCTTAAGCCACATTCCTTCACAAATACCTAGGGCCATAGCTCTAAATTCTGCTTCTGCACTACTCCTCGCCACTACAGTTTGTTTCTTGCTTCGCCAAGTTACTAGGTTCCCCCACACAAATGAACAATAACCTGTAGTCGATTTTCTGTCTGTGGAGCATCCTGCCCAATCTGAATCTGTATAAACTTCAATGTCCCTGTTTGAATTTCTCTTGAAGTGAAGGCCTCGACCTGGTGTGCCTTTGAGGTATAGGAGGATTTTATTCGCCATTTTCATGTTAGACTCGGTTGGATTTGACATGTAGCGACTAGCCAAGCTTACAGCGAACCCAATGTCAGGCCTAGTGTGAGATAGGTAGATTAGTTTCCCAACTAGACTTTGATATCTATCTTTGTCGGCTGGTGGACTTTCATCTTCTCTTCCTTTTATTTGTTCTATTGGTGTATTAGCTGCCTTGCACCCAAGCATTCCAGTTTCTTGAAGTAAGTCAAGGGTGTATTTTCTTTGTGATACATAGATACCATCCTTTGTTCGAGCAACTTCCATCCCTAAAAAATACTTAAGTTGTCCCAAGTCCTTAACTTCAAATTCCTTTGCCAAGAGTCCCTTTAAATGATCAATTTGATCATAATCATTTCCTGTAATAACGATATCATCCACATAAACAATAAACAAAGCTACCTTTCCTTCCATGGAGTGTTTAACAAACATAGTGTGATCTGATTGGCATTGGTTGAACCCGTCTTTCTTGACAACTCGAGTCAATCTATCAAACCACGCCCTTGGGGACTGCTTGAGGCCATAAAGGGATTTTCGGAGCCTGCACACCATATTTGCGGTGCTGGATGATTCGAGTCCAGGAGGAATCTGCATATAAACTTCCTCTTCTAGGTCACCATTTAAGAAGGCATTCTTGATGTCTAGTTGATGGAGTGGCCAATCTAAATTTGCAGCCAAAGAGAGAATAACTCTAACGGAGTTTAGTTTTGCCACCGGTGCAAAAGTCTCTTCATAATCTACTCCATATGATTGAGTAAATCCCTTTGCTACAAGTCGAGCTTTGTACCGATTTACACTCCCATCTGCATTATACTTCATGGAGAATATCCATTTGCATCCTACCGACTTCTTCCCTGCAGGTAGGCTTGTGATTTCCCAAGTGCCATTCTTAATTAAAGCCTGAACCTCTTCCGTTACAGCTGCTGCCCATTCATAATTTTGGAGTGCCTCATGGATGTTGCTTGGAATATGTGTATTGTCAAGAGCTGTTACAAAAGTCTTGTAACTTTGGGACAATTTTCCATAAGATACAAATCTTTCAATGGGATGTTTGGTACATGATCTTACATTTTTTCTCAACGCAATAGGAATATCAATATCAACATTCACAGAGTTAGGAGCAGTATTACCTGAGGGAACGCCATTTTCTGGAGTCTTGGAGGTTTCTTGATTCTGCCTTGGAGTTGTGCATGACTCTATTCCCTTCTTGTTCTTCCTGGAGTACACTTTCATGTTGTTTCCTGGTGCAGTTTCTGTTATAGGGGCTGCAGTTTCTACTGCAATTTCCTCTGTATTTTCTAACGTAGTTTCTTCTGGTCCACATGTAAGTTCTGCAGTTTCTGTTGCATTTTCATTTGGTTCAGGTGTAGGTTTTGATGCCTCTGCAGTGAGTTTGGGTTCAGTTAGCTCAAGTTCCAAAAGTTGGGATTCTACCACTTCAATTGGATATGTGTTCTCCCCCTGAATGCCAACTTTGGGGTAATATGGCTGATTCTCAAAAAAGGTTACATCCATGGTGTGGTAGAATTTTTTGTTTTGAGGTGAATAACATTTGTATCTCTTTTGGTGAGGAGAGTAGTCGAGGAATATGCATATAATGGATTTCGGGTCAAGTTTACTGCGTTGGGGATCAAGATTATGGACAAAGGTTGTGCATCCAAATATTTTCAAAGGAATAAATGTAAGAATACGATTGGTTGGGTATAAGGTTTGGAGAGTGGAGTAAGGCGTATGAAAGTTAAGGATTCGGGAAGGCATTCTGTTTATTAGATAGGTTGCAGAGAGGACAGCTTCTCCCCAAAACTGGTTAGGTACATTTGTAGCTAGCATGAGGGATCGGGTTACTTCTAGGAGGTGTCTATTCTTTCTCTCGGCAACCCCGTTCTGCTGAGGTGTATCCACACATGAGGTTTGGTGTATTATTCCATGTTGCGTAAAGTATGAGCTTAGTGCAGAATTATAGTACTCACGACCATTATCACTCCTAAGCACTCTAATTTTGCTTTGAAATTGTGTTTGCACCATGGTATGGAAACATTCAAATATCCTACCAACTTCCGATTTATCTTTCATAAGGTAGACCCAAGTGATCCGTGTGTGGTCATCAATAAATGTGACAAACCATCTTGCTCCAGTTACATTTCTGACCCGCGATGGTCCCCATACATCACTATGAATAACATAAAAAGGTTGGGAAGGTTTATAGGGTTGAGGTGGGTGGGGGCTGCGTGTATGTTTGGACAATTGACAAATTTCACATTGAAACAACTTCTGATTTTTATTGAATAGTTTAGGAAGCATTTTTTCCAAGTACATAAAATTTGGGTGGCCTAGTCTATAGTGCCACAGCATTGCAGAATTTTCACTACATGCAGAAACTACAGCGCAAGAGGTTGCCTCGAATTCTGGTTTAGATGCTTCAGCCTGAAGGATATAGAGTCCAGCACATTCTTTAGCATTGCCAATCGTCCTCCCCGACTCCAAAATCTGAAATTCACACAGGTTAGGAAAGAATTTAGTGATACACTTCAAATCCTTTGTAAGTTTACTTATGGACAGCAAGTTACAATCAAGTTTAGGCACATACAATACTAAACTAAGAGTAATATTTTGCGAAATAATGACTGAACCTTTACCCATGACCTTAGAAAGGGTACCATCAGCAATTCGAACAGTCGAATTATTTTGACATGGAGAATAGCTATCAAAGACAGTCAAATTTCCAGTCATGTGATCAGATGCTCCTGAGTCAATAATCCATGATTTTTGTTTTCCCCTGCTAGTGTTTAGAGCATTCAAAAAATTACCTTTTTGTGCCACAGTAGCTGTACCAATTGTTTGTTGAAGCAGTTTTTGTAAGGCTTCCATTTGCTCCTTGTTGAATGGTGATGAGTGAGAATTTACCTCAGCTGTGTTCCCTCAGCTGTCCCGGTTTTTGCTCCATTTTAGCTCTGATGGCTTTCCATGAATGATCCAACATGTGTCTTTGGTATGACCCGGTTTCTTGCAGTGGTCACACCATGGCCGTGTTTTCTTTTGGAAAGATCGATGATGTCCCCTTGCTGCCATTGCAGATCCTTCTATAGATGGGGCTGCACTGGATTTTCCAAGCATCACTTTTCTCCTGCTTTCCTCTCTTCGTATTTCCGAGAATGCTTCTCGAATTTTTGGAAGAGGTTTGGTTCCAAGGATTCTCCCACGAACTTCATCAAGTTCTGTGTTCAAACCTAAGAGAAATTTGTAGATTCTATCTTTCTCCACCAATTCTTTGTACTTCTTTTTATCCTCTGTGCAGCTCCATTCAGCTTCATCATATACATCCAGTTGCTGCCAGTGACGATTGAGAGTATTAAAATACTCTGTGACTGAGCGGTCTTCTTGACGCAAGTCATGGAGTATGCTCTTGATTTCAAATATTACAGATGTATTGTCGACATTAGAGTAGGTTTCCTTTACGGCATCCCACATCTCTTTGGCAGTATCATAGTACAAGAAATTTTCTCCAATTTCATTTGTCATGGTGTTTAGCAGCCATGACATTACTAGACTGTTTTCTAGTTGCCATTTTTCAAGGTTGAAATCCCCCTTTTTTGGACACTTGGAGTCTCCTGTGATATAACCTTCCTTCCCTTTTCCTTGAAGGTAGATTTTGACTGAGCGCACCCATTGATTGTAATTCTGGCCATTCAGTTTGTGACCAGTGATAGGAAGAGCATGTCCTTCGGCCAAACTGTTGGCTGAATTTTCTGCTTTAGTATCTGCCATGGGTGGTGCTCAAGGTTTAGGGATGGTTCAGATCTTATGCTCTGATACTATATAGAAATACGTTGTATATTTCATTATATTGGAACTGTTACATTGTGAGGTATATATAGAATACAATACACTAATTTGTTAATAAACAGAGAAATAATTTCCTATAATTGCTGCTACCTAAATAAGGAAATCAGAATAAAAGATAATAAATCTATTTACACCACTGTTTTGTAACAGCTTGACAAATCAGAATCAAATGATTATGATTTGATATGTGCTAATCTTCAACAATTAACATTGGATTTGGAGGTGCACCCTTCGAGAAGAATATCGAAGGAAATGGAGAAACCAAGTATACCATGAGTCAAGGGGTGGAGAGACAAATATAAGATTGTGATAGGGACTTGGGTATTGTGAGGTGCCCAAGTCCCACATCGAGTAGTATATGATGCTTGATGTAGTATAGCTAGCTTTCAAGGGAGGGTTTCCCAAGTGCTTGTATACCTATCAAATGGTTTTTTTTTATAAGCAAAAGCAGAGGTATTAAAACTGAGTACAAGGGGTACTCAACCCATTACAAACACACAAAATTAATACAATCAACTGGGGAATGTAACCAGTTATACCACAACGGACATTTAGCCCCTTTGTTACCTAAACACTGCCACGACCAGGAGTTCCATTTGATATTACCTACAATATCATCTAATATACAAGCTTCTCCTTTAAAAATGTAATTGTTTCTTGCCATCCAAATTGACCAAACCGGGGCCACCCAAAACACTGCAATATTCTTCTTTCTAATTTTTCCTGCCAACGCTATACATAAAATCTCAAAATAATCTATGACTTGTTGTCCCTTTGGTCTCGCCAATCCTAACCGTTCGGAAATATTTCTCCAGGTTCTCTTTGAGAAACTACACAAAAAGAATAGATGGTCACGATCTTCGACTGTCTCACTACAAGCGGGCAAACCTTATCATCATCATTATGGATTATGTTCCTCTTCACCAGCTGGTCCTTGGTTGGAAGTCTGTTGAGGATTGTTCTCCACCCGAAAATTTAGAGTTTCGAAGGAACATTAGTAATCCAAAGTAAATTCAACATCGAAAGCAAATGACTATCTACAGCTTCTTCCAATTCCTTCTCGCGCAAGGACATATAGCAACTTCTAACAGAAAACAAACCATCATGATTTGGCCACCAAATGAACGAGTCCGCTGTATCAATCAATGGTTTGTGACCTGTTACAAATGGTATCATAGCCTAGTTGTCAATGGCACAAAAAGGGCTTCATGTGGAGGGCTGACTGGAAAAACCAAATAAAAATAAAATGTCGTAGAGTACAGTCGTCGGCTCTATGGAGCGTTGCCATGGTAGGGACTTGGGTGTTATGAGGTGCCCATGTTCTGCATCAAGAAGTATCGAGTGCCTGATGGAGTTTTTAAGTGGTTTGATTCTTCCCCTTGATTCCCCTTGATAGTTAGATTTCAAGGGAAAATATCTCAATTCTCAAGAGCTTTGATACTTGTCAGATTGTGAGGCGACGGAAGGGTAAAGTAGAACCCACTGAGCAATGAGTATGGGCATTTTTTTTGGAGAAGAAACAAATTTATGTCAATATATCTGTCATTTATGGTTGTTTCCTATTTTATGTTTTGAGAAATCAGAAAATAGAATTAAGAATATTCCTATTTGAATGTATAGAATTGCACTTCCTAATTTAGGTTGTACAACTTAGGAAATAGAGTTAATTAGTCATTATTACTTGTAAATGTAATTGTATTATATATAGAAGAGAATAGAAACAGAGAAGGCATCAAGCCAATTACATTTGACAATTTAGTGGGAGCAAAAGCATAGAGGGCATGAAGAGGTAACTGAATGCAAGAAAACAAGAAAACAAGAAGGTTGAATGAGATTCATATGAAGGGAGTGAAAAAGTAAACTTGCCAGTTGATTTAGTTAGTCCATGGGGAAGTGAACCGGTAAAGGAAGATGCGACTCTGTTGTTTTGACTCGCGCAATAGTGGAGCATTGAGGAATAACATAATTAAAGATTTGGTAGTCATCTTCTGGGTAACCAAAAAGTAGAAATGGATTGTTGAATTAGGATTAGTTAGTGTATTAGTTTTGTTAGAGGGGATATAATATGGGAAATAAGGGTAGAATGATTATGTTGAAATTTATGTAAAGAATATATTCTGTTTATAGGATTATTAAGTAATTAAGATAGACACGATATCATATTTATAATGTAATTAATACTGACAATGTATATTGATCATCTCGATGCCTATATAATAGTCTCTGGTGTCATTCAAACACTGTTTCACCGTCTCATGCCTCCGTTTTCTTCCGTTCAACAGATTCATTTTGATTGTTTGTTCTTGAAAGAAGAAATTCTCTGTGAAGCAAAAAAGCCTTGGAGGGGGAGAGGAATCTCTCCTATTTTGAATCATTCTATTCATAAAGATGCTTTCTTTTGATTCTTTCTATCAATTCCCACTTTTATCCTTATCAGTTTAACCCAAAAGTTGGAGGTGTAACACTGTAACCTAATGGATTAAATTGTAGTGTGTCAAGATACCACCTTGCTCAAAAGCAGGTTGAGGTGTGTGTGAACTGCTTATGTAAATTTTATTGACAATTGAAATACCCTTTTCCTTTCGTTCTATAAGTCATAACCCTTGAAAATTGCAACGTCTGTCTTGTGAAGGTAATTTATTAATTATTACAAATTTGATCGTAAATTTTTTGCACATTGAATTTTGCAGGTTCTGACTTAAAACGAGAGGAAATGGAGCAGCTCATCTTACACCTTTTACTGGAGCGAGTTCTGGTAATATATTTTTGTTTTAATATTGAAAGTTGGAAAGATTTCTTGTTCCAAAAAATAAGTCTTCCATTTGCCAAACAAGGCAAGACAACATTGGTTACATTTTCAAGATAAAATTAAAGCGCATGCTCTACACTCATCATATATAAAGAGTGAAGAGTATAATAGAGCTTCATAATTAACCTTTTCAACAACTATTGGGGCTAAAATGTTTGATTATTATTGATTTCCATTAGCTAGTTTATTGGTCTTTTATGGCACAACAGAACAGGCTGTGTGGATCAAACAAAAGTTGAAAGCTTTGGGGTAGTAAAATTAATACTTCCATACCAATCAAAAGCTATGCAACTTACATTGCAAGATTTAAAATCATCTATCTTAGCTCGCTGTTCTACCGTGGAATTTCACTAATCAGCAGAGTTAAATGTGTATGCATTGAACTGCTAGAAATCAATCTTAGATTCACTTATCTTGAAGCACAAATGTAGCTCAAATCCCAATTAAATCAGAAGCTCCCGTATGAAACTAGTGAACAATGATTTTCTATATTCCATTTGCATCTCTTCACATACAGAACCAGTGTTGCCATTATGATTGTGCTAAAATTAGGGTTAATAACTTCATATTTTTGCCTAGGCTCCACTTTAATTTATTTACAAAACAATGCTTCCAATCCCAGTGCAACAAAAAGTTAAGATTGTGTCACAATTGAATGCCAACCCTCGTAAAACATCGGGTAATAATACGGTCAAAAAGTTATTTTACTTGATTTGCATTGGCTACTTGTTATAGTTTAACATCTCCGGGTTTTTTTAGCTTACGTGTTACTGTGTTAGTGCAAAAATGTAATATTTCCATTTTCTAATGGGTAATATATATCCAACCTTTTCTTGGTGTAGAAAGAAGAATTTCAGCATACAGCTTATTCTACAAATGCTTACATTACTTTAGGGCCATTGGCGAAACAAATTTTGCAAGGTACACGTTTCTCATTGTAGATATCAGTCCATAAAGCTAATTTGTTATGGCAAAAGCTATTCAGTTTGCAAATCGTCATGGGTATGTTGATCACCAACTGGTTGTGCCTGTTTGGATATTATTCTGTGCAGGGAAGAAGACCGTGAAGCTTGAGGTTTCTACAGAACAGAAAACTAAAGCTTCTGAAAGATTGAAACGCTGCCTCGGGTCGTCTGGCTTGGAGCTAAAGCTTGATGAGCTGAGAAAAGAACTTTCTTCCATTCATGGAGGAATACTTCCACACTCTGTCTTGTCTACTCAACAAATTAGCTTACTATGTTCTCAAAAACCAAATTCACTGGAACAGGCAAGTTTTTTTTCACGAACTTCTAGTTTTGTGATGGTGGTGTTTATTCTGACCTATATCTAAACAAAAACAAAACTTGAGGGACTCCAATTTTAAGGCATGTATTACTAGTCATTCTGCCACGTAGACACTACACAGACATGCAATATAACACGTTACCAGGAATACGATTTTTTTAATTTAAATTTATAGGATAATAAAATGTGTAAAATAATTACAAATTTTCACTTTTAAATGTTAGTCCCTCCATCTCATATTAATTGTCACTCTTAAAATATCTGTGTCTCATTAATTGTCATTTTAGAATGCTAGGAAGCATTATTTATCTTTTTCTAGTATTACTCTTATTAATTGTATCTTAATCCACCAAACTACACTACTAACTACAGCATAAAGTTATTTTAGTCAATCAAGCCTACTTCATCATGCAAATTTGTACACTCAGTGCTTTTATTAAACAGTGCACTTAACCTTAAACTGCACTCAATATGAGATGTAGGGGGGGAATGGATTCCCTCCGGTGAAACTTTTCACTGCAGGGAGTCCAGTGTATATCTCATCCATTCAATATTACTTTTGAAAATTTGATCAACATCTGTAAAAAATTGAGTGGCTTAGATTTAATTGGAAAAAATGTCACGGGAGACAATCTTCTTCCGATGTAGGGAGGACCATTTATCATATTATTTCATTTTATTAATTTGTATTGGGATAAAATTTTAAAATAAAGGTAAACACTTTACAAGGGTACTATACAATGATTTTATACAAAGATATTGAGTAAACAGAGTTGACACTTTTATCACTGCAAATTAGAGTTGTAAGTTTTCTATGTTTGTGCTTGTGCAGTTGGAGAAAGTAATTGGAAAGTTGAAGACGGAAAAGTATGGAAATAAGATTCTCGAGCAAATTCTAAACTATTCTGATTTCAAGCCGACTGATGAACAAGTAAGTGATGGTAGAGCTGCAAAAAGGTCAAAGACCAAGAAGAACCTTGTTCTTATTGAATCTAGTGAAGATGAAGCATGACAATGGATGCTGTTATGTTTAGTCCTATTTCTGATCCATGCTTTCATTGTATAATGTTCCATTTGACTAAACTGAAGTGTATTCCTTATATATATCGGCTGCTACATCATCCATATGAGGAAAATGAACTTTGATGACAGACTAACTCATTAGACTATTTTCACTAATCAAGTATTTGAAATTGAAAATTGAGTATTCTTTATGCTATGAATGGATATTTGGTTTGAGTTTATTTTTTGTTAAAAAAATTAGGTAAAATTTGCAATAGTATACATGAAGAATTTGGTAAAATTTTGGTAAAATAAAAGTCCGTAGGCATTGATGTTGTTATACAACTGATAAGCATTTGAAAATGCAAATACTATGGTTGGTGTTCCGTGCTAGAATTAGAGTTGATCGGAAAGAATGAACTTGTAGTTTGTTGCGGTAGTTCGAAGCTTTTGATGCGGTATTAAGGGGGTTCAAATCAATAAGAGAAAAAAAAAAAAATAGAATTTGAATATCTGTGAAGGAACGCGCGTATGATGAGGCTTGAGATATGGTTAGTTGCCATATTGATTTGAACGGTTGGGAGGGCGCACACATGAGAGATTACCGGCTTCTCCAAAGAAGAGTCCTCTTGTATTGTGTTGTTTTGTGCAAAATGTAACCTTGAGTCGTTAATGGGCTTTTGCTTCTTAGGGCCTCATGGATGGTTTGAAACAGCGGCCTTCACGCTTTTGTTTTTGCTTTGCAGAGGAAGAGTTTGTAACATGTATCTTCACTTGGCCTAGAGATCCGTGGACGTGGAGGTATTTTGATGGGACGTTGCTACTCTTGTGAATAAACATATCTCATATGCTAGTTGCTACTCTTGTGAATAAACATATCTCATATGCTAGTGAATAATGATGTTTCCCTTTCTTTATAATATATTAGAGCCTTCTGAACTATTTTCGAGGAGATCTTAGTCATTGATAGTGCGGAATGATCGTACAATCCTTAATGCTCGAGTAGGGTATAAAGGACTTTCGAAGTGTCGTTTTATTTTTTTGGCCGTCGTTGACTTGCAAAAGAGAGTGTTTATACTTCTTTTACCGTTCTTTTCTCATAGCGTTTTTGTTTAAGTGTTGGACCAAGTTCAAACGACTTTGTTAGTTGGCATTAGACTTGCATGTTTGATTGCTCTTTCCTTTGAATTCTGAAGTTCAACGTACTCCTTTTTGCTTTCATTTAACTTTCTTTTTAGGGTTTTTAGGATAGTGAGTGTTTGAGCTTGTTTGCTGGAGATACATCGTATCTGAACTCTGTAACAATATATTTCGATTATGGTTATTGCGTCTAATTCGACTAAGAAGGTCAATTAAAATATATCAGACGACTCGATGGATCCAAATGTACTGTGGAGTGTTTTTGCTTTTGTTCGTGAACATGTCTCTGGCCAAGCTTTGACAGACGTATTTTCTACGACTGATTGGGGAGTGTTTCCCCCAGATGAAGGTAAGAGGATCTACAGTCAATACGATGAGTGCACAATCCCTTTTCAAAAAATTTTGTTCTCTCTCTCTCTCTCTCTCTCTCTCTCTCTCTCTCTCTCTCTCTCTCTCTCTCTCTCTCTCTCTCTCTCTCTCTCTCTCTCTCTCTCTCTCTCTCTCTCTCTCATAGACTATCATCTTCCCTTCAATGAATTTGAAGTTGACGTATAAATCATGTGCTTATTGCCCATTTCACAATTACATCTAGTGAGTTGGGCATTTGTCAACGCTTTCCAACATTAGTGCGAATATAAGAGGAGCAAGCCGACTGGGAGGTTGTTCTTTCATCTTTTTAAAACTCAAAATAGTCCAAACTATGCGAATGGTTTTAGTCTGGTCTCAATGAGGCAAAATATTAGATATTTCAAGGCTTATTTGGATAGCTTGAAACATTTCAAGGATCTTTTTTTCCTAGTCACTCCTTTTAGTGAGGCGCATGCGAAGATATGCCACTAAGAGCCCGATCATTTTCCCGCATACACAAACATGTTTCACAAGTATTGGACTCAAAGCCACAACTTGACGAGGGCAGAAATGTATCACTACATAAAAGGATACTTGTCTCAGGAGGGGTTATACTTGAAAAACCAATTGATGACCTTCTATCAAAAGCTTGTTTAAGTTGACAGGGTCGTTCCGTTGGACACGGCGTCCAGAAACCAATTGAAAAGTGCATTTAGTAGATGCAAAATCAAAGAAAGAAAGAAAGAAAATACTTGGTAAGTGACCTTACTGCTTTGTTTTTCCTATTTCATTTTCTTGAATCTCTTATGATATTTATTTTTTTGACTGTGTAGATGCGATGAAGAGCGAAAATGCTATGCGACAATTGAGAAATGAGATTCAGGTTGTTGCTTTGGTCGAAATTCTAAGCAAGCATTCTGTTGGAGGAGCTTCTACCTTAAGTACGTCCAGTAGGAGACCTTCTAGTTCAGTTACCGGGAAGATCACTCAGACTGCCCCTCCTCTTGCTCGAAATGAGGTTCAGATTCCTCTAATTGGGTCGTGGTAGATAAAATCTTATCATTTACACGACAAAAAGGCATGGAAAGGTTGGCCTCCATCCCATAAGATATGGTGTTCTTTAAAGATTGTAATGCATCAACAAAGATATAAAGAACTCTAAGATTCATTTACATACATTTCAATAATTAGTTACATGTCCTAATCTGGATCGAAGACAATTATTAAAGTTATAACATAACTTTATTCTCAGAAGAGTTGTGGTGGAATTGGAGGGCAAGAAATCTAGTGGGCATTGCCAAAGAAAATATCACTATGAATCAAGTGATTGTTAATATTAGACGTCTTCGTAACGATATGCTAAATGTATTAATTTCCAACTTTATTGACAATGATGTGGTCCAGAGCGTGGCATGACATGAATTTAAGGAGGACACAATTGTTTTGAATCTAAGGATGACAAAATTGGTGCTAGAGATGTGATCAAAGTTAATAATGATAATTGAATCAACGAGTTAAATAGTTTCCTAAGAGCCACTAACATCACTCGTGATGAGCTGATCACTATTCGTCTCAGGTTAAAAATGACTAAGGATCACAATATTCATAAAATGACATGTTATTCAAATTTAACAGCCATCATCAATATAACTCACAAACCTATTGAGGTATCACACACTTATGCACTTATGATACCTAATGTTCAAATATTTTTGAGTTGGATTATAATATCTCAATCAAGCATACATTATGTGAGGAGAATGCGTGTGCTAAATTTCTAACAAAGATTAAAACGACTAATGTTGATCAGTATAAGATATGAAATGTTCCACCCATTAAAATTTATGACCTTCTCTTGAGAGATGCTACAAGGAACCTTGTTGCTTGGTTTTAAATTTTATGTAATCTTTGGTGTTTTTTCCTTTCTTGCGTTTTAAGTTAATGTAACAAAAATGTTTAATGTTCTGGACTGGGCCGGGCTGGCCCAAGAGCAACGATAAAGGCCCAATCCAAACGGACTTGCTAGGGGTCACACCGACCTAAGAACCATAACTATGCCCGACATATGTCTCTGGGCGACATCCCCGTCCTCGTGCTATCCAGCTCGACCTCAACTCGAGCACTTCTTCAGCAACAGACATGGTCCACTGCACTCTCAACGGGGCCCCGAAAAGACCGCGTCCTTGTCCGCCCGCACTTCACGCAGGATATCCAGGAAGGGGACCACGTGCGGGTCCCCACTACGCATGTAGAACCTGGCAGTTCCTCCATTGGGCCAAACCTGCCCGGCCCAATGAAGGAACCTTGGCCCAGCGCTGGGGGCTATAAATATCCTCTGTTTCCAGAGGGTCAGGTATTCATTCTATCACATATACTCACTTTGCCTGCTCGTACTCTTACTTACTTCAGCATCGGAGTGCCTTGCAGGTACCCCCCCACCTCGTTCAAAACTTCAGCTCGGAGCTAGCCGTGACGGTCCAAGTCTGATCAGGTCAGATCAGTGGCGCCGTCTGTGGGAAACTAGCTTCCCCGTCTTACAAAACTCAAAGACCAAAGCTCAAATTCAACTACCGCTGTCATGGCTGATCAAGCTCGCGATGAGCAGAACGTCCGTGTCGTCGACACTAATAACGGCACCGCGGACAAAAACGAACACCTTGATAACGCCGGCAACCCCGGCCACAACACCATTCCTGCGACAACCGCCCCCGGAACTTCCAGCTACAGGGACGGAGCTACTGCATCATCTTCCTCGGTCCCTCCACCACTCGAAGACGACCCGGCGGCCCTCGCACACTACAGAGCTGCCCGGTTCCAGGAAGTCCCCGTCCCCGCCGGGGCGGATGCCACAACTCAAGCGCTGTTCGCAGCGATTAATCAGACGAACTATCTCATCTTCGCCCAAGGAGAGAGACTGAGGGAGCTTGAAGACGAGCGAAGACCCCCGAGGAGACATCGGAAACCTCATACTCCCCCTCCTCGAGTGACTAAAGCTCGACATCCATCTCCCCCGCGGAGACATTACAAGGAGATCTCTCGAAGCCAATCTCCCCGGCCAAAAGAGAAACGGCCTCATCTGGAGAGGCCCCCCATCATTCAAACCGGAGAACCTTCTCGTGACCCGGTGAGACAAGAAAGAAGACACTCCGGAGACGGACGTGTAAAATTCAACCACCGAGCATCCCGCTCGAGAGAGACACAGCACGACCTGGACCGTCGTGCCAGGCAGTATTACAGGTCCCCATCTTTATCTCCGGAGAGAAGCGACGAGGACGACCCCCGCGGTCCCCTGTCGCAGGCTATTATGGAAGCACCCATCCCCCCGGGCATGGAGAAGCCCCCTCACCTAAAGGAGTACGATGGAGTCGCGGACCCGGTCGACCACATAGACGGGTTCGAGGCTATGCTTCATTATCACAATGTCGGGGGTCCCATCAAGTGTCGTCTATTCCCCACGACTCTCAGGAAGGCGGCAATGAACTGGTACAAAGGACTCGCCCCGGGCTCAATCACCTCGTGGCG